TGCTTCAACAGCTTAACTCCATATATATGTATATTGGATTTAGTCGGTAATGTTAACTTAAGTTAAAAAGGAAAGATTTCAACACTAACTCAAACAATTCATTCATAAACTAACCACGTAGGTTCCTCTTCTTCTCAATTATGCTGCAGACAGTCGAAAGCTCGACTACAACGCCACTAATTACACCACGTGCGCTATTCAATCGAGTTTTCTTTTATACTCTCGGTTCCACTCATTCGTCCCGAACTAGATTTATGGCTTCTGCCCACAGGACGCGGCGGAAGTTATAATACACAAAAAACTTCTAGTTCTTACCGAAAAAACGGCATGTTGATTGGCTACCGCGCAAACTTCCATTGCGTGGTAAGTGTTGTCGCGTCTTATGAGCAGAGGCTATTAGCGGTCTAGTAGTATATAAAAACCTGTTGTTATATTGCTTTCTTCTTTGGCGGTAGTTGAGAAAAATACAAATTTTCGGAATTCTCGAAGGATTTTTACAAGTATCATCCCATTTCGAAAATGAGTGGAAGAAGTATTGGTTTTTCTGGATTTACAAAGCAAACCGAAACGTTATTATGCGGTATCGGAGCTAGTGAATTAGTAGAGGAATTCAAGACGAGAGATATATCAACCAATGTGTTGCATAAATTAACCAAAGAGGATTTTTTGCGGCTTGGTAATATATTCAGTTTAATAATTATGTTATTCTGCTTGTATTAGTATATTTGTATACTCTACTTATAAACATATTTATAACTGTTTTCGCAATTAAAATATAACATTTTTACCAGAACGTTGTAAAAATATGTGTTAGTTAGGTTAAGTTAAAGTCTAAATGCAAAGTATTGTCAATAGTATCTCATATATTAGGCCTATTTTCTATTGCTGCACTGGTTTTGCTAGTTTTCCTTTTTCTTTTGTCCACGAAATCTTAAGAAAAAGGGAAAAGAAAGGACCAAAATGTAAGCTAGTACAGCAATAGAAAAGAGAATTATTGTGAGTGATTTATAAGAATATATAATAAGGTCTAAAATTTTACTTTCAGGTGCCAGTGAAGATCGTGCTGAACATATAGTCAATGTTTTAAATGTCTCAAAGAGGAAAAATTCTGATAAAAGGCCAAAGTTTCATCCGAAGTACTAAATCATTATTGAATTTTCTTATTTGCACATATATTCAATCTAAATTTATATTTCTTGCAGGATATCTGATAATATAGAAATATTAAAACTAGGAGAAAAGCAGTTAGCTTTGTTTCAAGCTTTTATAGAATATTGTAAATTCAGACTTAAAAAAGAAAAAATCAACTTTTTCATTGAACCTGACAAGGCATTAAGTGCTTCTCAGATTCTGTGTATTGCTGCTGACACTACACTTGCAGAAATTAATGAAGCTGAATTAAGACTGAGAGAATTGGAAACTATGATAATTACGGTATATGTATAGAAAGTAAAATTTATAGTATATCAACTGTATATGATAATTGTATATAATAATTTTCAAGTTAAGTTTATATTTATTTTTGATTTATATTTTTATTTTCCTAAGTAAGTAAACATTTTAATTTTATTTTTTACAGCCTAAACGTAGATCAATTTATTCCTATATACTATTTTGCGCACCAATAGGTGTGGTATGCATTGTTACATATAAGTTGTTAATAAGTAGCTTTTGGAAGTAATGGTTTTTTTTCATCGGATGCTAAGAGGTTTGAGTTTCTTAAAGGAGACAAGATATTATTATCATTTTTTTGTTGTATGTATTACGAATTTTTATGAAAAACAATTTCGGAATATTCTGTACTTATATATATACATATATATATATATATATATATATATATATATATGTGTGTGTATGTGTATGTATGTATAAACATAATATAAATATATTATATTTTTGATAAAAAAAGGTTGGAAAAACTGTTTCCATTTAATTCTTCCTATTTAATATATATGAATTATTTTCTTGAAGGTTTACTATTTTTCAGGAAGTTACGCCAAAAAGTTTCTCCTAAAATTTTATTTGACCTAACTAGAATAACACTTTTCTCAAAGTAAGAACAAAAAGGAAAAAAACACTTGTGGTAAATCAACGGTAATTAACGTTTTTACAGATTTAAGATCTCTCTCTCTCTCTCTCTCTCCTATACTCTTCCCAGAACGAGCCGCATAGAGGACGTATAAAGTGAATCGTGACAACGATGACCCCGGCGAAGATCGAAAGGAGCGTAATATGGGGGTGAATGCGGGACGAGGCCGAGTAAGATCGAAAGAGACGCGTATATATAGGATAAATAGTGACACACCGCGGGAAATCGAAAGGAACGCGCGATATGGAGCGGTGATCGCGCGGAAGCTCGCTCGAGGGCGGGTGGTCCCGAGGACGAACATCCTGCGCCTGATCGTGCGTTCGCGCGCGCACATCGCACACCCCCGTTCGCGGGACGGTCGCGCATGCGCGCTCGGCCGCTGCGAGAGCTTTGAAATCTCCGCTTCAGTCGCACTAAGATGGACGGTGGAGCGTACGGTGGCGGAAAGGCCGGGGCACCTTTCGATCCGATCGCGTTCGTCCAACGGCCGCAGGTTGTCCTAAGGGCAGTATGTCTGGTAAGTCGTCGCAACTCTGCCAACGATTGCCGACGATTCGTGTGATCGGGATGACCCGTTGCCTAGATTGAGAGAAAGAGAGAGAGAGAGAGAGGAAGAGAGAGAGAGAGAGAGAGCGTTTCCTCGACTCGCGAGCGGATGGACATTGATTTTAAAAGAGCCCACGGTTCTTCTCCCCACCCTTGCGTCGCGATGGGGTTCTATTGATTTTTCGCGAATTCCATCGGTACNCCCCCCCCCCCCCCCCCGTGCCATGGGGCTCTATGGCGTTCGTTGCCCAAAACGAGACCTATTTGCTAGTCTATTTATGGTTTTTCGCACTCGCTCTGTCTCACTGGCGGATATATCCGCGGTGAGATATATCGGCAAATCGGCGCAGGACGCTCCCTTGCGCCTAATCCTTCCTCCGTCCCCTCCTTGATGCTGTATGTGGGCTGTGTTGTTAATTCTCCCCTCTTTCTTTTACATCTTTTGTATATTCGCTCGTTATATTCGCGACAGAAATAATTATTTTTATTAATAGTATACATGCTCTTTCTCTCTCTTTCTCTCTCTCTCTCTTGGGTGTATGTGAACTATGATTGAGTATATAAGGCATTTTTAGAATCATGATGCATCAAGTGCCTCTCAATATCTAAGGTACATCTTAATATCTAGATATTAATAATCGGCGATATTTTACGAAGGAAATTATGTTTAACCTTGCCAGTTCACTTGACCTATTTTCACTTTTAGAACGATCACATGGATATTGATCCTGTCATTCTCAAATTTTATGGTTTTATTGATTTTTTACTTTTAAGCAGTAATGTTAAAAAACGATTGAAAAGGAATTAAACTTGTACATGCTATTTGAGTTTGAATATCCAGATATACATACACAGAAAATAAAATGGAATAAAATGAGAATCAAAGATACAGATTCTAAAAATAGAGAGATATTAATTATAGAGAGATATGTATGTACATATAGCTTACTTATTTTATACTTTTTTACTTATACTTATTTTAAATTTAACTTTAATACTTCAAATATATGCATCTTTCTATACACTTTTAAACTTATGCTGTCAAGTTTATATGTGCTTCTCTTTTCAAATTTTCTTCTGTCTTGTGTATATCTAATGTTTTTATCATTCGTATTGTTCTTATCAAAAAAATATGTACATATATATAAAGTAAATGTGTAAATATATATTTCGATACAGTGTATGTACATATATATAAAGTAAATGTGTAAATATATATTTCGATACAGTGTATCTTTACATTTGCCTGCAAGTTTTCACAATTGAAATATATTTTATAGAAAAGCCTTTCTCTCATGCTTTCAGCTCTTTGCAATAATCGTATTCGGTTGCATAAGCAGCAAGGGTTACCTTCTAAAGGATGAAAAAGAAGTCTGTCTCTACCATGAGGACAATAACGCTTGCAATTACGGGATCGGTATCGGGGTATTGGCGTTTTTGGCCAGTATCGGATTTCTCGTGGGTGAATACTTGTTCGAACAGATGTCGTCTGTCAAGACTAGGAAACATTTCGTCCTTATAGACTTGGGGTAAGTCATACACGTATTTACATAACGTCGCATATTTTATAAATAATATTGCGTGTTTCTAGAATAATTTTTGAAATTAATATAATTTTCTTTATCGTATTATTATGATATTCTGTAAAAAAAAAACTATTCTGTAAAAAAAATTCTGTAAAAAAAACTAACATTCTAATTACATACACAGCTTTTCGGGTTTCTGGTCTTTCTTGTATTTCGTGGGATTCTGTTATTTGACGAACGCATGGAATAATTCTGAAAGACCAAAGGACGGATATGGCGTAAATAATGTGCAAGCGGCTATCGCGTTCTCATTTTTCTCCATCTTCACTTGGGTATGTTGGATCGTTTCTTATTCTGTAGATATCTAAAACAGTAGTCTTTGTTTAATTATTAACACCTACACTCAATTGCCGCATATATATTTGAATTGAATCTTACTATAAAGATATACACTCATGGAGAAGCATATTTTTAATACCGTTGATGTGTTAACAGGCTGCTTGCGCTTGGTTTGCATTTCAAAGATTTAAGCAAGGAACTGACGCAGCATTCGCTCCGAGTTACGAAGCGGATCCTGTCGGTGGCACAGGATACACAAGTTATCCCGATGCTACTGATACTGCTTACCAGGAACCGCCATTTGGCCAACAGCAACAACGGGGTATGGGTGACTTCCAAGCCCCAGCTTACTAGAAGTCATCCATAGTCAATACCAAAATGTATTTCCATCGGATTGCACAGCGAACTACTTACGAAGGAAGACGGTTTAAGATAATTTCTCAAAACAAGATTATATTGTTTTCCGCCACCTATTTTGCTTAAAGGTAATTATGATCGTATCATGTTTAAAATTATCATAGACCAGAATCCATTTTCTTACGCGATAATTCTACATCAATGGAAAAAAGTGCACGTGTACTTTTAATTCCAACCAAGGAAGTTGTCGAGCTGTATAAATAAACGATTCTCACTCGAGGTTTATACTACGTATAACAATTAAGAGAGCACTTAATACTTTCTTACAAAAATGGGCAAGATTCAAGCAGCTGTAATTTCACATAACATAATTTTATTGTTGCTCTACACAATTGTTTTTTGAATGAAAAATGTAAAGAATTGCGAATTTTACGATATTTTCACCAATTTGTGATGTGTCCACAAATCTTTAGAAAAAATCGGTAGTTATACTATTTGATAAAACCAACTTCCAACTTTAAGAATCCATTTTCCGAATTGCTGTACGATGATTTTCAACGAAGTTATGAGCAATCAAAATTAAAATGCTTATGTCTTCTTGATAACTCAGAATTGAGAAATTGTAGAGAAATTTCGTCCAAAAGTAAATTGTAAAAAGCTTCAATCTTTCACATGAAAAATTCAAGAATTTTTTCAAATGTTTGTTACGCTCATGACACGTCTAAAAATGACGAGAAAATTTTATTCAGCTCGTTTTCGATACGTAAAAATTTCCAAAAATTAAAAGAATGATAGGAGTCATTCGAAAGTAGAGATTTTAAACTTTAAAATCCTTTCTTAGATTTAGATTACGATAACTTCTGACGAAGTTACAGAGCTACTTGAATCTTGCCTATTTTTTGAAAAAGTGTCAAGTGTCAGTTCCCTAATTGTTGTACCTAGTGTATTTGTGAGTGCGGATTTTTTTTTTCGTGATAACTCTGTAAAGCTTTACGTAATATTTCGTGGATCTGGCTAGAACAAGCGTATTAAATTGTGTTTTCGTTTACAGACTAAAGAAGAACTTCATTCGCTGATAGGTCGCTGGGCAACGTTGTGGTCGTAGAGTAAGTTTTCATGGCAAGACGTAGAAGGAAGTTATTTGTTAAACTGTGCTTCTTATTGTTGACCACTTGTAAGTTACACTTATATCCATACGCCCGATGTCACACAAAAAAACATTAGGTGTGTTTGAGGTATATCATATGCGTTACGCCTGGACATACGCATTACGACGGGATACTACTGACCATGAAGTAAATATGATATATCTTGTAACGAGTAACTTATAGCAGCTCCATAATAAGTAAGAACTAGTACATGCACAGGCTATGTATATTTTAACGTTGTAACGTGTTCATAGTAAACGCGAATTAACTGTAACAGTAATACGATGCGTTGCATTGTCATGAAATTAGTATTAAACGCGTACACATGAGATGTAGGCTTGAGATGAGTAAATTTCCGCATAAGTCGAGACAAGTATATGTTGATATTAGAGAGTGAGACAATACTTAAGTTGCCCTTCTTTTTCTTTTTACTACTTAAGTCACTTGTATTACGTTCGCGAGGTGGCGTAGTGGCATTACGAACGTACATACTTTGCACTGATAACATACTTTGAATAGTGATAACATAGCAAACCAAAGTTTATTTTCTTTTCTATTAATATATAAGTTTATATACAAATACCCACACACAGATTTGCGTATAGAAGTCGCCTGACATCCGCGCAATACAACTCACGTAGGACTTATGTATAAATTGTCTGCGATATTCACTATTGCAGTATATCTTAAAATTTCATATTTAAGTCTTGTTACACGAAACTTTCGTCCATTAATGCCATCGATGTGTATGTCCGACAAATCATCGATGCAAAAAGGACCGATGTATTGATAAATGCATCACCAGGGAAGCTTATATTTTCGATAATTTGTTCATATTCTTCGAGCTAACGATATTCTTACTAATAATTATATCTATCTGGTATATAATCTCAGGAAGATGCTGTACAATTATTAAGGAAGATTATTTATTTAAATATTTTTATTTATGCCGCACTTGTGCACGATAGATATATTGCTAAACGTGGTGGATCTCACAATTATGAGTTTACCCAAAGTACATATACGCAACGATTTCTATAGTTCGTTAATTACAGAAGTTTTACATACATCAGAGTCGATTATACAGCAATTCTGATTCGTCATCTCGAAGTATGCAGTGATCTTTAATTTTAAATAAGAAAAGTATTATATATACGTACTTACGGTATAATTTTAAGTTGCGGGATTAAATACTAGCTCGGTTGAATAATTCTACGTTGTACGCTGTATTAAGCAAACGTGAACATCGTTAGAGACATCTAGTAATTCAGTAGTTTAGCAATGAATTTGAGAGAATTATGCGTTCCACGCGTATATGTGTATATGAAACAAAGATTGAGTGTGATAGGCCCTTTTGCGATTTTTGTTTGTGTAAAAACATCCTCAAAATTCTTACGAACACTTGCGTGTGTACTCCCTGCTCGAGGTCTCGGCGCATCTAGTACGTATAATTCTCTCGGATAAAATCTACTAACTCTCGATATAAGATATCCCGATAATTTGAGAAGAACCATGGTTTGTGTATAAAATATTACGTGAAGTGCAATAATAATCATTATATGTATCCTAATTGCTTAAAGAGAAAAATCATCCCTTTGGATATGCAGGATTAATTATCACGATGAAAAGTATTCTCTTCAAAGTACCAGACAAACTGTTGTATTATTCTATATTATGTTCCATTGTGTGCATAACAATCGACTCGTTGATTTGCCCGTATATTCAAAGGGTTGAACTTGTAGATGTTCAATCTTCTCAAAATTTATCTTTTATTTTTTGTAAATCTTAACCCTTCTACATATATAGAGCTGATAACATTGTTGACTAATAGCATGACGCGACGATGCGACAGTACGTCGTGTCACCAACACCAAGGAGGGTTAAGGCAATGATAAATGCAGCTTAAAAATCTCAACCTTTATCTGTACGGGGAAGAGATAGTGCTGTTGATTTCACATCGGATCTAAAGTCGGAAGAAACAAAGAGGAGTAATCGTATATTGGGCGGAGTATAGTGCTGTCGAGCAAGTGTCTATTGCAGAGGTGTAAAGGAATAAAAAAAATGCGTATCAAGATGGGTATCGATAACTAAATAGCTGTTGTATGATTGTATTTATATATATACATAAAAATACATATACGTATATATGTATATGTATATATATATACATATATATAATGCATTTAATGCAGTAGTAATACGTATGCGTCTGTAAAGATCTGAGTGTTTTAGGGACAATTCCAAGATTTACCGTGTAATTTAAAATAGCCAAAATATACATATAAGTGGTTATTTTTATGCAAATCAAAATGATTGTACGACGAGCCAAGTGATAAATTACGTTCATTGCTTGTGCGTGAAGCTGCGACTGCATTTTTGCAAACTGTTCGTTTCAGATGTTGCGTTTCGTGTAAAATCGTTTACTCTCTTCTCTTGTTACTGTTTCTTCTTTTTTTCCACACACACACACACACACACATGCATATTCCGCAAAAATGCGACTGCGCGCTCAACGTGCTTCTGTCAGGCGTGTAGGCGCCGAGAACTCTTTTTCTAAAAACAAATTTATAACGTGCGACTACCGTTGTTACTTTCGTCTCGTTTGGCAATTGAATAATTGATTCTCTCCGATGTACGATATAGTGATACGTTGTATGTACCAGCCTTTTTGGTACCACCTTTTCATTAGCGTTACGCGAATATAAAACGAGCATCATGTTGTTTAAGTTAGAGATATTTTGTGGTAGCTTTACGGAGATTTCGTTTCTACAACGTTGTATAGAGCACATCTTATAGAATTTGTATTCACGAGATGCAGGATTTTATTTCTTAATAAATTTTTGAGTGCCTAATACACTTGACATATTTATCTTCCGATTTCTCTTCGATTAAGGCTACGGAATAGTCGCTGTGATTCGGTCCTTGTTTAATGACGTCGAAAGCGAGAAAATACATGGCAAGATTTTTTGCGTTATACTTTCAAGTAAAAAAATATATTCACAAGATAAATTGTTGTGATCGATTCAGCACACTTATAAAATTGGACGAACACTTTCCTTTTACTCGAATAATCAATAAATAATCGCAAAATTAATTTGACACGGAACCTTCTTTCTCAATCTCTTTTCTCACAATTTTGTCAATGTTAATTTTGCGACTATTTATTGATTATTCGAGTAAAAGGAAAGTGTTCGTCCAATTTTACAAGTTTGCTGAATCGATTACAAATGTTATTTCGTGGGTACAACTTTTTATTTGAAAGTATAATGCAAAAAATTTCGGCTTCTCATTCAAAAATTGATTTCTCGCTTCTGACATCATTAAACAAGGACAGTCACAGCAATCACTCCGGAACTTTAAATGTAAATTTAAACATGTGAACAGGATATAAATCTTGTATCAACGTATTTTGCCATGTAATCTTGTCACATTTCGTTTACTAGAAATAACTTTTGTCAAAACGTTAAATATTATAACACACGACTTATCTAGTCTGGTGAGGCACCTTTAACCGGCAAAAAATGCAGGAAGCTGTGTATTGAGTTGATGCAAAAATTCGTTGCCTTTTTTCTTATCAGTTCTTTACTCAGAAATCCCAAAATTTCCACGACCGTGGAATCATGCAGTTACTGGAGAAGTGGCAGGTCATCAAACACAAAACGGCGCATACTCGATTAATTATATTTAAAAGTTAATAAATATTACATGCACATTTTAATTAAAAAGCGACAACGAAATTTTGCGTCGACCCGACAAAGAATTATTTCAGTAGTCAATTATTTTTTCCTTTTATTGTCTAATTCGTTAACTATGCGTGGTACATGTTCCATAAGTTCATCAACAGTGTTTTTAAAGTCGTCGTTTATCCATATCCTCTTCAATTCCGTTAAAACCATGCCGATCATTTTCGGATGTCGCACATAGCTTTTCAACATGGTGCCGCCGATGGGAAATCTCGGAATTACCCATTTCTCAAATTCGTCCAATAGTTGTACGGCTCCTTGGTACTTCAATACTTCTCTTACGTATTCCCGATAGACGTCGTACCTATTCATCTGTTGAATAAACACCAACTGCTGGTACGGCTTTAACGGCCGTTCGCAGGGAATGTATTCTCTGTGTTGAATTAGAAACAACGCCAGGTCTCGATCGGAACTGGACAATTTCAAGCGACCGTGTAGATTCATAACATCCTCCTGATTTTTTAGCAACGACACGATCATAGATATCGGCTTTAAAGTCATATTGTTGGACAATGCGCGTCGACAAACAACTTGAAAGCTCTCCACGTCGGGTTCTTCGGGTAGACCTATGTATTCACCGCTGCCGCATTCCAACATTTTCAACATCAATTCCACGGCAAATTTCCCCGTTAAGATCTTGCTCAATTCGTTCCAAATTCTCTCACCGGATATTCTTTGTAACCCATCGATGTTTTCTTTTATCGCTTTTATCGTAGTTTCGTCGTGCTGATCGGGGCTGTCCACGATCCTTCCGTAGAAACGGAAGTACCTGCAGCAATCAAATAACACGAACCTGATACAAGTGACTTAAAGATTCAATGTAACATAATGTACATTTTATATTTATTGGGTCCCAAATATGTTACTAATATGTTAATATGCTAGTTAAGGATGTATTGCCCATTAGTGCTGCATTTTCAGCGACGTATCGAGGGGATTACTCACAAATTTAGTATTTATCAAGCAAAATTACGTCCTTATATATTTATTTGACTTACCTAAATAATAAATGTTAATTTGAAATAAAAAGTTGAGGTATGAGTTATTTGTTTCGATGTATCTTATAAGTACCTGAAATTTGTCGGTCTAATTTTGGGACATCCTGTATATACACAATGTTACAAATACGAAAATATTATTTTATAATTTTTCTTAATGCTATATTTATGCACCAATTGACCTAATAGAGACGCACAGATAATAGAAAGAAATATACAAGCATTTAAATATATACACACGTATATGTATTTTGAGTTTTACTATACTATAAGTTATGAACTGTACACTTTCAAAATAAAATGGTCAATAATGCTGAAATTTGTGTGTAATATATGTGTATATTAGTCTTTAATGTTATAACAGTTTTTCATTAAAATCTTATTTTCAGTTTAAAAATATTAAAAATAGAAATTAAAAATAGCACCCTGATCAAACAAGGACCACATATAAAAAATGTCAACTTTAATTGCGAATATCTCTCGAAAGGTCAATCTTCTTATAACTGCACAAGCAATGAGTTAGGTGATATTTCAATGTATATACAGTGCAAGTTGCATCTAATTCTTATTAACTTCATTCTACCTCACAATCTCCTTTCAAATGGAGTAACTTTCGATCCAGGCTTTGAATTACTGTCAAACTTTCGGTGTTACTTATAAATGCAATGTCGATGTGTAATTTTTTCGTGATTTTCTCGTTATTTTTGGCTTATGAGCAATATATCCTAAAGCGAATAATCGTGGTGGGAGGATTCAAAATATACATGTATCGTTATAATATATATATATACACACACACACACACACACACACAACATACCTGAAAATTCGAAGATAATCCTCGCGTATCCTAGTATGAACATTGCCTACGAAATTTATTTTTCTGTTCTTGAGATCATCGTAGCCATAGAAATGGTCGTATAAATTGCCATTGAAGTCGAGATACATGGAATTAATAGTCAGATCTCGCCTGCACGCATCCAACTTCCAGTTCTTGGTGAATTCCACCTGCGCGTGCCGTCCATCCGTCATAATGTCAATCCTTAGAGTGGTCACCTCGAAGTTCTCCTTGTCGTTTATCCTCGCTGTCACGGTACCGTGCCTCTCACCTTTCATATTCAACATTCTGATCTCTTCCTTCATAAACATCTCCCTCATCTGATCCGGAGTCGCACTGGTCGCGAAGTCGAGATCCTTCGGGTGTTTGTTCATCAAAATGTCACGCACGGCGCCGCCGGCGATCCTCAGCTCGTAGTTGTACTTCTCGAACAGGTTGACGAGAGTCTTCAGTTCTGGCGTAAACATGGAAAGGAATTCCGGGCTGTTCAACGTCGCTATAACCGGGTCCGCTCTCGACGGTGGTAACGGTTCGTCGGCCATCTTCCTAACCTTTCGCCAAACCTCATGCGTAGTCTCGTATCTCACTTCTCTGCGTACCTGAGAAGAAAAATAATTGTCACTCGCACGCGACACTTCGCGACACGTGTTCTCGCGTTGTAATCCAAACAAAAATGCTTCGTTAAAAAAAAAATGATCGGCGTCTAACATAACCTTATTTCATGATTAACATCGTCACCGGATTGTCGTACAATCGTTTTACCTACGTGAACAATCCGACGATTAAGTAGACTCGTTATTCGCCGGGACAACGTATTCAACATAATGACACATATATCACTCGGTTGCTTCTCTACGTGAATCAAACGAAATCATTACGCGCCTCCATATTCCGGCATGCTTACAAATTTGTTCTTCCACTGAGAGACTGCAACACCGCGGTTGGAACTGTGATCGGACGTGCAAGTGTGACGCAATTTTCGCACGAAAAATACATGAATACAAAGGAAGATAAAATAAACGTAGTAATTAATTAGTAGGTGTAGCTTTTGCCTACCGCGAATAAAAACAATGATTTAATCTTAACTGCATATTTTATTATATACATTATAGACAAAAATTAAATGATTATCAATCTCTCAATCACAAATGAAAGAGGAAAAATTCCAAGAGCTTTGATCACTCACAAAAGGACAAACAAATCAGATTCGATTTATTTTTGTACAGCACCCGGGAAAAAAAGATCATATATGAAACTTGCTCGTATATGATTGTATATAATCACGTACGTGAATGACGAGAAAATACTGTTGTTTATAAATTATATGCAAATACAATCGAAGTAAATGCTTCTGGCTACCTGTGCTTTTGACGGCACTGATATCGACATTTAATTAAATGACGTAATATCATTTTATCCCTACGGACACATATGATCACATGTAACCACATATGGGCAAAATTCATACATGATTTTATGTAATCATATATAATCATTTTTTCCAGGTATTATCGTTAGAAATAAGAAACTTGAGAAAATATTTAAAATATATGTATGAATATGTATGGAATGTTCAAAAATATATATTTAGATATTAGGGATTCCTCTAGTTATAAAATACTTCTTAAGTTACCTCGTTATCATTATTTTTGCATTATTTTTTAAAATAACAACTACACACTCCTTGAATTCTTGGTATTTTCTATGATCGAGAAAAGTGATACTCCTCCCCTACGAATTTCATATATAATATTATTTATTTATTACATATTTATATCTTTATTAATACTAATTTATCAATATATGTGACATCACTCATTTTATGAATGCTGATGATTTCTACACGACTTTCGGAAAAAAAGCAATGTACATTTTCTCTAATGTGAGACATCCAATCGTCGAATAACTGCTCGTATAGATTCAACACAATCACAAATTCGATAATATTAAACTCTTTATTCTTCGTTCATTTATGTACATTACTATTTAGTACAAAAGAGGATCCATGCACACAAGAATTAATGACCTTTCCGAACGTGCTGAAGGACATTGTTTTAACATCATTATTGAACATTCTACGATACGAATCGCCATATATCATTCTTCCAATTCACCANATATATATATATATATTTGTGTGTGTGTGTGTGTGTGTATGTTATTTATTCCTCTTTGAAACGCACATGTGCTTATCTCTTGTATGTCTCAAAACGGATATAACTTTTGTGTTGTTACACATAAAAAGTACAAAACCTATCCACATAGTATGTATCTCATGTGATGTGATCGTATAGTCTGGTCGTAAAGTATTTAACAGAATTTCGTATTACAGCGCGTTAAATATTTACGTAACAATGATACTCTAAAAAATTAACATTTCCACAATATATCCGTGTTCGCTGTTAAAAACAGTAATTTCTTCAACTGTTAACAATGAGATGGCGTTACCAATTGGATGACAGAAACTCGTTTCAGTATAATCATCATTCCAGCTCGTTGAAGAAACCTGTGCTCTAACGTTCAAAACGGACATATTGCGTCGCGTTAACATTTTTTTTTATGGTATGCAAAAGTTGTAGCTGTGAATTATATAGCATTATTTATTATTTTATTACTACTGGTGTAACTCACGATCACGATTACATCTCTGTATTTCAACGTGTTATACATTTCTCAATTTGATACACGTCAAATGCCTTTTGAAAAGTGAGATTCCCTGTTCCCATGATGCGTCGTTCTTTAATCCTCTCGCAAGTAACATACACGAGTTCACGTGTCGCGTGTCCTTCTTAACACGGCCGTCCAAAGTTCCGTATCTCTTGAGTCAACTTAACATCAAGATCGTGTTTAGCGCTAAAACGCAAGACGTGAAGGTCTACCTGGTTCATAAAATGATGTGGCACGATTTTCTCTCTTTTTTTTTTTTTTAACACAAATGGAATTATTAAACGGATTATTAAACATCGATTTCTTGCGATCGAGCGAGTTGAAACGCAATACAGAAACACCTCGTCATTTTGTTTTCTCAAATAAACGACGATATATCCCGTATAAAGACGCGTGTCTGAAGCAAACGCATTGTGTAACGCAACTAAACCAACTTCACGGCGCGCACAGAATGTCCGGGAATTTTATACATGTTTGTCATTTTATTTACATCTGAATTCGCTAAAGACTACAACAGACCTGTGTGCACATTGCGATTCGATAAAAATCATTCGTTTCCTCGTGGCGGATGCGCCTATAGTGAAAGAAATGGCCGCACATTCCGTTGCGATGAAAATGAAAATCGCATGAAAAAGTAATTTCCACGTGGAGGCCACTTTCGCTTATGTAACAGTAAGATTAGAAATCGATGAATTTTACAGCGCAGCTCGCTGCAGCGCGACCTGCCGTTTTCTCTCTTCCGTAGGTAAACTCGAATTGCTTGAGCGTCCTCTCATCTGTCCTTCTTATTTCCCATTTCATTCCCACTCCATATACTCCGACTACATGACCACACACTAACATCTGACCTTATCGCACAATATTATACTTTTCTTGTCTAAATATGATGCAAAAACTCGGATTGATCGCGATCCGAACTCATGTTCAAGGAGGCACCGCAATAATGTACGCCCGTGGATACTTTTTTGCTTTTTACGCACAACCGAGGCCGTACATCGTTGAGCGCCTTCGCACACGCGTGTACAAATTACATACGCATGCGCGATGTGTACGTAGATATTAAAACTTCCGGATAATATCAATCACTTATACGATTCCTAATTATATTTCAAATGTAAACAATTATTTTAGATAAATAAAAAATATTATACGCTTATACAATTAATGAATTATGTATATGTACACACAATACACATTCGGCTTTTTCGGTGCTGCGTTGATGGAGAATGGTACACGTAGAAACGCTTGACTCACTTACCATCCAAGTAGAAGATAGAATGTGTTTTACGCGCGGTCTAAGGAGAGGCCTAACGTCGAAGGAATTTCTAATGCGCTAGGATCGCAGTCACGTGATCAACTCCATAGAGTCTTCCTGCAAGTTTTATTAAATACAATGGCACGAAGAGAGAAGAGAGGAGAGAGAGAGAGAAAGAGAAAGTGGAGGCATATATATATATAGAGTATTAATTCCATTCATGAAATTGTGGATGCGTATGATATTAGTATCGATTTTCAACGTACCCTTTATAGATTTATTAATTCATCGTGTAAAAAAAAAACATATAATGTGATTGCATTTATACATCACTTACACAGGTTTTGCTGGCTTATTAACGGAAGCAGTCTTCTTCCTGTTGTTTCGACATTTCCTCACGTATGCTTCTACGAGTTGCGCAATCTTCTTGGGATTGATCTCGCCTGTCTTATTATGGCATATCTGAAATACAATCACGATTGTGAACTCGATCCTGCAATATCAAGAATCACGATTGGTTCAATATCTTTACCTTAGGTACAGCTTTGCGCATGATATCTTTATATTCCTCCTTCGTGATGTGCTTTTTGGTGTAATGGGGTTTGAGAACTAATTTGACCTCTTCCACGACTCTCTCTTGTCGATTGAGTTTCTTAAGGAACTGTAAAACGGCACAAAAACTGGGGTTTAAGAATGCATCTCCGAGTAAAGAGAGGTGCTTCAACGCGCAATCAATGTACCTTGTCTTTAACTTGCATCTCTACGGCAGAACTAGGAAGATCGTCCAGAATTTGAAGTTGGTTCTCGTCCATACGTACGCCAACTTTAGGGTTGGTAGCTATAAAATATATCATTTACATTTAATTAATAATTAATAATAAATAATAATAATTATTAATTAAATATATAAGCGAATAATCGTCTTATGATAATTATTTATCAGTTAATAATTATCATATCATAACATATCATATAAAGTTAATCATAATTAACTAATAATTAGTAGTTAATAATTATTATTTATTAATTAATAATAAAAATTGAAAGATGATTATTCGCTGGCATCAAGAAAATGTCGTTAAGTTTCCTGTTTCCTTGCCGTAGCCATCTTAATTAATCAGAAGCGAGGAAAGGTATGTTTAAAATTCTTATAAAATACATTGAAGTAAAAGGATCCGTCCATGATATATTGGGATCGATTGAACACATTTCTGAGATATTCCGAAAATTTTCCTTTTACATTAACAATCAACACATAGCTGTAAAATTAACATGACAAGATCATGAGCAAAGATAGATTAAAAAGGAAGGTCGCATGTTGCATTACTTTTACGGTTACTTGATTCGAATAAAAGAAAAGTTTTAGAAATATTTTTCAAATGTGATCGATCGAATGGAACTTTATGGACATATCCTTTGATTTCAACGTACTTTGCAAGAATTTTGGGCACGCGTTTTCTTGCTTCCGACGTCATCAAACAAGACGACTGCAGTGAGGGACCTTAAGAACGTATCGTCCACAACTTAAAATAATAAAAAAATTACGAATTGATCTATATTGCATTTAAACATGACACCAAAAGTTTGACAGTAATTTAGAGTCTGGATCAAGCATCATTCCACTTTAAAAAAAGTTGTAAGGTGAAACGAGTTTGATAAGAATTCGATGAAAGTTGCACATGTATTGAAAGCTGCGTATACATTGAGATATTTATCTAACTCATTGCTTTCGCAATTAGGAAAAGACTGACCATTCGAAAGCAGATATATTTGTAACTAAAATTTACACACTTTTTCTGCGTGTTCCTCGAGAATAGCGAGCTATTTTTAATATCTTCCAAAATAAAAATAAGATTTTGATGAAAAACTACTATGATATAAAGACTAAATATGCAAACATTATTATATATGCAGACAAATTTCAGAATTATTGATCGATTGAGTTTTGAAAAAAAAAAAAAAAAAACCACGCTATTCTTCACGCGTACATGTGGTTCAGTAAGCGTTCACAAATGCCTTGAAGCGTTCCCCTTTCTTTGTCTTCCTTTATTCGGATCTAAAAGATAGACGAAGAAAAAGAGACGCTTCGAAAGACTTGTAGCGCTTGCTGGGTCGCACTCTACTCATCCTTTTGTCATTCTAAACTGTATCGTCATTACCAACGCGGAGTTCTTGGCTGAATAGTCAGGAGCCTTAATAAGAAAAATAAAAAGTAATACTTTCGTATTCGTAATATTGCGCATACACATGTCTACCTCAACTTCGTTCCAAATGAACATTTATTATTCAGGTAGTGCGATAAATGTATAGGAACGTAACTTGGCTTGATAAATATTAAATAAAGTGGCTCTTTTGATGCACCATTGAAAACCTGACATTAATGGGTAAAACATCCTTGAAGCGCAAGTTGAACGATCACCACATTGTAAACCCAGATTCTCGCATGTTGTCTTGATTACAAGGCACTTACACTTCTTCATCTTTTCCTTGCTTTTTTTGTTCCGGCTTTTGGTTGCAGTCTTAACGGGCGGCAGTACCCCGCCGAAGAGCGCGTCGAACGCGTCCTTCTTGTCCGCGCTCTTATTGACCTTCGGCGTGTTGTTACTGGTCTTGGTGGCGGCGGGCGGTGCGTTTGCGACGGGCGAACTGTTGAAGTTGACAGGACTAGGAGGATCGAAGAGACCGTCACTCAACGTCGAACCCGGCGAATAAGGCGACGACATGTCGACGTTGTCGCTGGCCATATCCGCAGCCGCGTCGCTCCCGTTCTGTCCTATCGTCGAGCTGTTTTTATTCTGCGCGGACTTGGAAGATCGCACCATTGTAGTTTTCGTCGAATTCGTGAATATGTTCGGCAGCTGTGGCCTGTCATTCGTACGCTGCTTTATCTGATTGCTCGGCGAGGTGCGGCTGGACTGCAAGGAAACCACAATAATTGTTCACTCATATTAAATCAAGAAGTGCTTATTCAAACAGGCGCTGTGAATCTAATCGAATATACGTAAAGCATAAATAAAGTAAAGTTCAACGAAGAAAATAGATTGTTAAAATAAATGTTAATGAATAAATTTAAAGTATAAAGTAAATTCAACTCATGTACAAACTCATGTACAGGATGTTACCTGAGATATATACTGTACAAACCTAAAGAGCATGTGTCGTTTTGTAAGTTTTGAAACAGACAATGTTTATAAATATGAGTCCAATTCGAAACGGTTGTCCTCTCCTGGTGTTTAAATGATGGCACAATTTTGTGGAATGTTTTCTTATTGAAAAAGGACAGTAAGAAAGGAAACACAAAGATTAAATGTTTAGTAATACGAAAGAAAAGTTAGTAGTCGAGCTGAATTAATTACAGCGTATTAATGATGCGTGTGAACAAACAAAGAATAATTGTGTTCTTCGTGCAGATACTTAACTCTGAAACTACCGACGATTAACGTGTACCTTTCTGCCGGAGCAGTTTAAATAAGATTTTTGAAAAAATACGTAAAGGAAAGAAATATTTGGTCGTTTATACATTTCGACAAAAATGACGATTAATCTCAGAGAGTGCACTATTAGAAATTAGAGTAACTTTTATTTTAAAAAATTACAAACCGGTCATTCGACCGCTTTGGTGTTAATCCATGTTAGATCGCACAGCACTATATATTAATGCGAAAGAACGTCAATTTGAACATCTTCTTATTTTCCTCCCTTATTTTCCATTTTTAATAAAAAAATGTTCCAAAAAATTATACCACCATTTTATAAACTTTAAATACTCGTAGATGGAACTTTTCGAATCGGGCTTATAATTCATAGGACATTTCTACTTCCATTTATATTCGAAATATGGCTCTTTAAGTTTGTACAATATGTCATGTACGTAACACCCGGTATATATATTAATTATAAATTTATATATAATAAAGTAAATTATATTTACAACGACTCTGTAGGTGACTAACTGTGAAAAAATAAAACGGGTTTTCGAGAGACTGATCATGGCTGTTTACGGTACATTATTTTAATTTTGTGGAAGAATGTCAGTGTTTAACATGTAATGACGCACGCACCGGATAATTGCCCCGAACGACGAACGTATGTTAGGAAGAATGAAATACAAGAAAATAATTGGGACTCAAGATTAACGCTCAACGTCGGAGGTTGATTCACCGCGTATGTTGAAAGAGTGTGACGTTACAGCCGCGTAAACATTCTTTTAGATACTCACAAGCATTATGCTCAACACGAGCGGTCCCAGCCAAAAGTGTTATATGTCGAAAACGCTAATTTCTTTATGACTGTTTAAACACTACGCAAGTCTGATCGATATCCTTCCGTTATAGCCATATATCAAAGCTCACGAATTATATTCATCAACATTTAATACAAACTCGTCGAGCTTCTTCACGTCGTGTTACCTCTCCAATAATATTGTCACCGACTAACATAAAATGACCGTTCCTTCTCTGTGAAATGAATCGCGTTTCAAGCAACGGTTGCCAAGGTATGCGAATGGCCAATATGCGGGCACATACTTGCAGCAGCGTCCTCTGCGCGGTGTTGGGTGTGCTGGCGTTGAAGACGGCGCTTCTTTGGACCGCCGCGGCGACGGTGGCCAGGACGGGGTTGATGGTGGCGAACGGATTGGCGGTTGATTGCACGCTCTGCGGATTCTGTTGGGTCTTGGGCGGACTGTTGCACGACTGGGCGATGATGTCGGTCTGGTTCTCGCCGGGGGCGGGCGAGGCGGTGTCCCTCGGCGGCGAGGCCCTCTTGATGGTCACCATCGATATGATCTTTGGCTTTTCCGGCGGCTTCTCCTGGCTCGGCTGGTCCTGCTGTTGGCTCGGCTCGTCCGGCAGCAACGGCGTGTCCGCGGTGTCGTGCTTCCTGGGCGAGTTGCGCTGCGCCCGCTCGTCGTTCGGCGTCGCTTCCTGGCTGGCGTCCGGCGTCGGCGAGCGGGACTTGGTAGGGTCGAAGGGGTCGTAAACGTCCGACGAGCTCAACGGCGAGGTCGGCGGCTCCGGCGGCGTGTTCGGCCCGATCTTGAGACGCAGCTCCAGCTCCTCCTGCGCGCGCATCTCCAGCTCCTCCTCGGCACGCTCGTCCATCATCTCCTCCTCCTCCATCTCCTCCTCTTCCTCCTCCTCCTCCTCCAGCAGCGGGTTGATGAGGGACGGGCGCAGGTTGCTCGGCTGCTTGTTGATGGAGAACTTGATCTGCGGCTCGGGCGGCGTCTTCGGCCCCTGAGAGACGAACTGTTCGCGCGGCGGCGACGCCACCTGCGACGGGGGGCACTGCTCCGGCGAACCGGTGGCCTCCTGTGCCTGCTTGTCGTCGTCGTCGCTCAGCACGATTACGTCACGTGGCGACGGGGTCTGCTCGCGGAACGGGGACTGGTCGAGGTCGATGACAGCGACGGGCTTCTTCGTCGCCGCGATCTCCGCCGCCTTCGACTTCTTCTTCTTGTCCTTCTTCGCTTTCGGCGACTTGGACCGCTTGTCTTTGCTCTTGTCCTTCTTCGAGCGCTTCGCCGGCGCGGTCTCCGTCTGTGCGGAGTCCCGCCGGCGGCGCTTGATCGGCGGCACGAGCGGTATCGTTTCCGGGAGCTCCGGTATCGCGGCCGGATTCGCCTCGTTGTCCTTGTTGAAGCAGACGCTCACGAGGATGTTGTCGCCGCTAGCGAACACCTCCTTCGAGGGCGGCGGCGTCCGGTTGCGCTTCGCCTTCCGCCGCTTCTCCGACTCCGACTTGGATCTCCGGCTCTCTTTCCTCCGCTCCTTCTTCTTCTTCTTGATCGCCTCCTTGTTCGTGAGGATCACCGTCAGATTCTTCGGCGAGACGCTGTCGAGGACCGACGGCGGCGACCAGTTGCGCGCGCCGATCGGTTCCTGCTGCATGTGCGCCGTCGGCGGTGTCTTGGAGCGCGAGTGCGACCACGAGGGCGTCCACTGCGCGCTCCAGGAGCGCTGCTCCCGCGGGAACTCCACCGGCGCCGCGCTGTGCTGCTGCTCCACCGCGGTCTTCTCGTTCAGCTGCTCCGGCCAGTTCCGGCTGGCGTTGCGCTCCCGGTCGCGCGAGCTCCCGCCCGCCCTCGAGCGCGACCTGCTATGCGGCTTCCTCTTGCCGTGCTTCTTGTCGCGCGACTTCGACGTCGTCCTCTTCGCCGACTTGCTGCGCGACCGCTTGCGGTTCCTCGAGCGGCTGCGCGACTTGTACTTCTTCGCCTTGTCCTTCCTCTTGTCGCGGGAGCGCGAGAGCGAGCGCCTGGAGCGGCGCCTGGGGGAGAGCGAGGACCTCCGCTTGCGCGACAAGGAGCGCGAGCGCCTGCGCGCGACCGAGTGCCGTCGGGACAAGGAGCGTCGGCGCGAGGACTTGCGCCGGCCGCGGGAGACCGAGCGTCTGCGCGAGTTCGACTTGGTGTAGGAGCGCCGGTCTCGGGACCAGGAGAGCCGCGGCCGGGACCTGCTGCGCGGCTTCGAGTACGAGCGGCTCCTGCGCTCCTTCGGGCCGGAGATCTTGCCGGAGGAGCGGCTCCTGCTGCGCGTCTTCTCCCGGATGTCCCGGCCGTACTCGTCCTTGCGCGACGCTCGCGGCTTCTCCGCCACGATCTTCCTCACGTCGTACCGCGGCAGCTCCTTCCGCTTCTCCTTCTTCTTGCTCACCTCCTTCAGCTTCTTCCTCGAGGACCTCTCTCGATCCTTCTCCCGGTCCTTGTCGCGCGACCTCGACCGCTTGTCCCGGTACTGCCGCTCCTTCGTGCTCTTGGAGATCTTCTTCCACGAAACCAGGTTGTCCGACGAGATGTTCTCCTTGTTCTTCTCCGTGTTCTCCTTGCTCTTCTCCTTCTTCTCCTTCTTCTTCCTCCTCTTGCCGTCCTCCTCCGGCCGCGACTGCTTCTCGCGCTGCTCCTTCGCGCTGTTCAACTTGCTCTCGTCCAGGATCTCGCCGTCTTCCATCTCCTTGTTCCGCGACACGGTCAGCAGCTCCTCCTCGAAGTTGATCGCCTCGTCGGTCTCGGAGATGTCCTCGGTGCCGAGGCCGGCGTAGCTCGTCGGCGGCGTCCTGCAGCCGTCCAAGTCGTCGTTCGCCTTGTCCTTCGTCGGCGTGATCGGCTCCAAACCGCCGTCCTCGAACGACGACGACGCCGCCGCCGTCTCCTCGTCCTTCACAGGCAGCTCGTCCTTGCAAGGCGTGTAGGCGCCGTCCGACTCCCAGTTGTTGTCGATCGGGACGCAGGGCGTCGGGATGTCCGCCAACTTGTCCTTCTCGATCGGGAAGTGCTCCTCGGTCTCGTCGTCCACGGAGTAACTCGCCTTCTCCAGCCGCTGGTCCAGCGAGACGTTCGGCTCCTCGTCGCTGAGCACTCGGTCCTTCTTGTACTTGTCGCGATTGTCCGCCTTGCCGTCGGCTCTACCGCTCAGCGGACGCTCGTCGAACTCGTCGCTGCTCGAGCCCCGCGAGTCGTCCGGACGGCGGATCGAGGCGATCGCGTCGTCGGCCTGCTGCGAGTTCTCAGGCTCTCGTTCCACCGCCGGCTCGCTGTCCAGCTTCCTCGGGGACGGGGAGCGCGAGGACGACGTCGACCAGGAGGACGACGCCATCGTGACGGCCTTCTCCGCTTCGTCGTCCTCGTCTTTCTTACCGGACGACGTGTCGCACTTTTCCTCTTCCTTCCTCGCGGGCTCCTCGTCCGACCAGTCCCGCAGGTGCTCCTTGTCGCGCCAATTCGGCGACTCGGCCTTGCGCGCGATCTTCGTCGCGACATCCTCGTCTTCCTCGAAGCCCACCTTCGCCGACTGGTTGAAAAGCACCGACGGTCTGCCCGGGGACTCCGCCGGCAGCTTCGAGCCGCTTCCCGCGTCTCTGTCCTGCGACTCCTCGTCGAGCGCTTTCTTCGGCGAGGTCGGCAATTCGTCCTGCTTCGGCTTGTCATCGGTCTTCTGCGAGGCTGCTTTACCGTCGGTCACCTGGTGATTCTGCGAGTTCACGGCGAGGTCGTCCTGCAGGCCGCTCAGTCTGTTGTTCAGCCGCAACTTGTTGCCGATCTTGAAGGTGATCTTGCCGCGGTGCGAGTCGTGGGAGATCTTCTTCGGCGGAATCTTGCTGAGGATCTGCCGCTCCTTTTGCAGCGCCTCGAAGTACGGGTTCGCCGGCTCCGGCGCGTCGGGCAGGTCGCACGCCTGCACGTCGCCCACGATGATGTCGTCGTCGTCGGGGATGGTGGGCGGCAACGGCGGCGGCTGCAGGGGCCCCAGTTGCTGCGACAACTCCTGCTCCGTGTGCCTGGCGACGTCCATCGTCTGCGACGAGTAGATGGAGAAGTTCGGGCAGTCCGACTGCGACTCGTTGTCGTCGTCGTCGTCGTACGCGGTCAGCCGGACGACCGGCTCCCTGCTCTCGGCGAGCATCGGAGGGCAGCTCGGCGGCGGCGCCGCCGGCATCGGTATGTTGCAGCTGGCCACCGCGTTGTTGCGAGACGCCTCGCTCGGCGTCCTCGCCGCGTTCTCGTCGTTGCTGTCGCTGTCCGCCGCGAACGGGTCGTACTTGTCGCCGCTCGGCATCGGATTCTTCTGCTCCTCCTTCTGGCTGTCGTCGATCACCAGCTCCTGCTCGCTGTCGTTGTCCTTGTCGCTCCGCGAGTTCTCCTCGAAGTCGAGCAAGCCGGACGGCGGCTCCGGCGGCGGCAGCAGGATCATCGAGCCGTTGCCGTGATGCTCCTCCTGAACATCGGCCTTCGCCGGCGGCTCGATGTCGCAGTAGATGTCGCAATCGTCGTTGCTCTCCGGCCGGGAGTCCACGGGCTCGACGCGCGCGTTCCCCCGCTCAGGCTGGTAGTTCCGCGTCACGTCGACGTCCGCGGGCAGACTGTTGCGGGTCGGTTGCGCGTTCAGAGGGTCCACCGGGTTGGACGGAGGGCCGGGTGGGGGCGGCATCCCCAGCGGCGGCGGCAGTCTCGGCCTCGGGAAACGTTGGTCCTGCGTGTGGGGGAAAGGCGGCCGCTCGAAGCCGTCGGCCGCGTAGTTGTTGAACGGCCGATCAGCCGGTGGTGGAAATCGCAGCCGATCGTTGCGGAAATGCTGCGGGTTGCGGCTGCGAAAGGGCGGTTGGGGCGCGCCGGCGAACATCGGCGGGCCGCCGCAGTGCTCGAAGCTCGGGTTGTAGAAGGGCGGCGGGCCGAAGTCGCGATTGCCGAAGCTGTCCCGCGGACCGGCCCCGCCGTAACCGTGTCTGCCCGGCGGCATCGAGTCCCGGCCGCCTCCGTAGCTCTGGCCGCCGTGGTGGCCGTGCCGACCGTTGTCGCGGTAGCCGCCCCGGAAGTTGCCCCGGTTCCCGCCGCCGCACGGGTTGTTGTACATCGGCGCCTGCGTGATGTTGTTGGGATTCACGTTCGACAGATCCAACGGCGTGTCGACCTCCTTCAGGATGAGCTCCTTGCGCTGCGTCACCACCTGCTCCTTCTCCTTCTTCGGGCTCTCGTTGTTGTTCACGCTGTGCTTGTTCTCCTTCTCCGAGCTGCTCAGCAGCAGCGTACCGTCCGCCTTCAAGGTCATGTTGCTATTCTTCGACGAGTGCCAGAGCTCTTGGCTGCTGATTATGGCGTCCAGAATATTCAGCGTGTTCGTGTCTTCCGTCATCTCACCGCTCACCGAGCTGGGGATCGTCTTGAGGACGGCGCGACGTCTCAGCGACGGCACGGCCGAGCGTTGCTGCACGTTCACGATCATCGGACCGCTCCCGAACGAGTACTCGTCGTCCTCCGACACGGGCGGGCTGTAGTCCAGGCCCAGGTTGTCCCCGAAGAGACTGACTCGAGGTATGCCGGCGTTGTATCGAGCGACCCTCAGAGCGGTACTGTCGGATATCGGGATGTTGTTTCGCAAGGTGGGCACGAGCATGGTGGGCAAGTCCAACTTTGGCTTATTCATACCCAGCGTGGTGGCCAATCTCCGCTTCACCGTTCGCGTACTGGCCAACATCGATGATACGGTGCGCGCGTATCGTTTGTTTTTTCTCCTCTGCAAGAATATCGTTCGCTCGTTAGCGCAGGATAAATATTTGCACTCGATTTTCATTCGTTACGCATACACTTGACATATGTACTATGTGTGATTATCGCGTCGTTGCAGGAAATCAATCATAATTAACAATTTATTAGTAAATAATAGTTCAATGTGTGATGACGTAATAATATAAAATTGTAATTCGAATTGAAGGGTCTATTGAATATAAATAAATATAACGAGTACGTCATTTTTCTAATACAGAGGAATTAATAAAATAATGAGGAAACACAATTTGTATATGTACTTTTATCAAGATCACACGAGATATGCAGTCTACGTTATATGTAAGTTAATATGAAATTAGCTGAAGAAACACATATGTAAAGAACGTTATTAGATAGCAAGGCGGACATGTTAAAGTTTTCTTTATGAAAATTCTGAAAGGTCACAGCGAAATAGAGGAAATTTGTAAGATTAGTAAAATGAATGATCAGTGAAGTTTGTTTAAAAAGTCCCTATTTTTAGAATAAAATTTACTACTATAAAAAATGCTTATTTTGAAAGCGAGATAACAAGATTTTTCTTTATATAATAGTATACTTTACAGAACATTATGTGTGACTGATATGTCACACGATTATATATAATACAAATAAAAAATTAGGAAATTCATATCATTGAGAAGTTAATTGCAGGCGCAATTTCAAAGTGCAAAATGGCATTATTATAAAGTTTCTGAAATTTAACGTATCAACACATGAATATGATAAAGTACTTAAGTGAATTTAAGCAAAATTAAGAAAAAAAACCAAGTGCATCTAGTGAGGAAATGGTTTTATTTATATAACTTAAGAACAATGAGAGGTACAATTAGAAAATTTAATTTAATTTAGTTATATGTTATGAAAATGGCATGAGTATAATATACAATAAAATTCATCAGTGATCATCATGTAATCTAGGGAAGTCTCCAGAGTGATGAGGTCATTGATGAGATGCGGTAGCGTTGCCAGATCGTACATCCCAATCGAGGAAAAATCTTGTACGGATTACGGCAATAGCTTAGCACAGAACACAAGTCTCGTGTATTCGTTAATATAGCTGCGATTCAGAGAATATCAAATAAAACATAATTTGTCATATAATAAAAATATATAATAAAAGTACTGGTACATCAGATTGAAAACGTACATGTAGATCTACGTATCTGGCAATCACCACTTGTGATGAGTATGACAAATGTGTGTGTGTGTATGTGTGTAATGCGTGTGACAGCACGCGCTCGCGCGTCAAGCTATTATTCTACGTTTGAAGAGAAATTAGCGGAGATATACCTTGCGCGTTCTCTTTGTTCTTTTCTTACACTTCCTCCTTGACGTGGACGATGTTACTTTGACGTACGACACAATCTCCTCCTCTTCGCCGTCGTCGTTGATCTCCCTGATTCTCACTTCTTGCAACATAGTGCTGCCTTTTTTCGACGAGCTCTTCTTCTCGTGCTTCTTCTTCCTTTTCTTCTTCGTCGCTTTAGTCTTGGACGTTTTCTTCGGGCGAGCGGACGAAGTGTTAACTTCGCGCGCATGAACATTGGCATTTGGAGAACGACTATTGTCACCGATCGAGTCGAGACCGGACGACGTAGACGGCTGACTCGGATCGATAAACTGAATATTCGTTATGGTGTTGCGCACAGTACGATTACGGATGTTGGCACGTACACGTTCGGTATGGCGAGTACGAGGAACGATTCTGGGAATCGATGCTCCGCCCTCCGGGTTCGTTCCAGTACGGGTACGACCGTATGAGACACCGAGGCGCCGCGCTTCCTCCATAAGATCCGAGATCTCGTCAAAGTCGATTTCAACCTGCAAATAAAAAGTCAAGTAAGAAAATTGGTACATCCTCGTCTTCTCGACTATAATCAGGTTCTTATAGGTAAGTTTTCTTTAATAGTTCACAGTAGGAAAGGTAGTTTCATGCAAGAAACATGTATTTACGTGTAGATTTTTACATGTACCTTAGACATTTTTGCATGTACTTTACACGTATATGCAAAAATTCCACATTTGATAAACGTAAACATGTTCTTACATTTTGCAATTTTACATTACAGTTGCCCTTTAATTTTTTTTATTTATCATTAATATCAATTCTAGTAATTCGAACAAGTTTTAGTGTACAATTTTACAAGAATATAAAGTGAGAGCGAACTTACAAGAGACAAAATTAATGATTAAGGAAGGAAAGTTGAAGGTTGGGATAATTAATTTTTCAACCTGAGTTTTAGTACTTGTTAGCAACAGGCCTTTAATATGTTACCAATGAATAAGAGGCCGTTAAAATGGAAAATATAAGAAAAAAATATGATCAGAATAATGTACCACTTCGGCATCATTTTGACTATTCTGAGAACATTCTGGACAAAACCATTCTTCCATGGGAACTTCAGTCATTGGTGGTGTTAGACACTCCAAATGGTAGCCGCAATCACAGCCATCACAAAGTAACATTCGATCTTCTCTGTCACTTAGATGACACACTTCGCAAAATGTTGGATCATCTTGTACCTGATCTTCAAGGCGCGGCACAACTTCTATCGGTATATGTTTTATTACCTGATCGAGATAAAAAGAAATGTACATTGAAAAACTATAATTCACAAATCTTATTTTTATATGCTACTCATACTATTTTTTTTTAATCAACAGAACAATATTATACAATTTTAACACATTTCTCAAAATTAATATAAAGTGGGCCCACATATTACCTTGCCGCCGAGATGATTTTTAACATTTATAATAGTAAAGACTTGGCGGTCCACAGGACAAGTGTTAATATTCTTACTCCACTCCAATAAACACTCTAAACAGAAGCAGTGTACACAGGAGGATGGTGTACCGACTTGCTGTTTTCTAAATGGCAGTAGACATATGGGACATTTTTCTAACTGTCCGTCACTATTATCAGAATCGATAACAACTGGTGAAGGAGCGGACTCTGTTTTCTTCTTTTTTGTTTTAGATAAAATTTTGCGCTTAGAATTATATTTAACGTTTTTATTCAACTCGTCGGAACTAGTCCAATCATTTTGCCATTCGGAAGATGTATCGCTATTATTATCTGTAATATATGCACAATATTATTATACACATTCTATCAAGCACAGAATCGATATTTTAATCGTATTAATGTGTACTAACCAATCTGAGTAGATGTATTTGCCTCGGAAGCGCTACTATCGTAACTAGGTAAAACCTTGCGCTTAGTGTTATATTTCTTGGAATCCTTATCCAATTCGTCAGAACTAGTGCAGTCACTTTGCCATTCGGATGTATCGCTACTACCTGTATCTGCAACATGTAACATTAAATAGCTTATGTCAAGAATAGTGTATAAAACTAAGATTTCTACTATATGTCGATAACAACGTATTGTCTTGTCTGAAAAATTTGTGTTATTTTTAAATATGCAAGTAAAAAAGTACGTCTTGATATCATATAAACTTTGCAAATAATTATAACCTTTTGATTATACTCAGTAAAAGATAAATTTAATGTTGTCTTTAACTTAAAAAATTGTTTTAATCGGTCTGCTTCCTGTGGAAAATTGTAAAGATGAAGAATCAAACGTCTGCATAAATTTTTTGGAAAAATCAATACCAACCGATTCGAGCGGATTTATTTGCCTCTGACGCGCTACTATTGTATTTAGATTCATCTTCGCTAATAACTCTCTGAAATGAAACATACAATTTTAGTGAATACACTAGACCAATTAGTTGAATAATTTTATAAAAGTGCAGTATAAGTTATACTTACATAGTTTTTTTGTCGTCTAATCACAGGTTTGGGTACATCACTATCATCATCACTACTTTCCTCCTCACTAACGACTCTCTGAAATATTAATGATAATTAAAAATATTTTTGAAATACTGGAATGAAATAGAGACCTCCATACATACATATATCTTTTTCCTCCTTCGAGTTTGTACAATGATGGACTCATCGCTGTTATCACTATCAGTTATGACGAGTTTTTTGCGCTTGTTTACTGGACAAGTATGATCGCTATCACTTGACATTTTAATTTTTGCTTAAATATATATCCACTGCATTCTCCCTATAAATCTGCAAGCAGAATCATAAGTACATTATAAAAAAATACGATATATCCAAAAATATTAATTGATACATATGATGCTAACGACGGTTACTTTTATAGATAATTGTAAAATCAAATAAAATCAGAGAATAAAGTTCGATTTAAATTATGCTTAGTGTCCCATCCAGATAAATGCGTTATTTTTATAGGCAATTATGGCTTATCATCATCTAAATGGAATTATAAATAATTCCTTAATATGATAAAAACTATTGTTGAGACAATATACATCAGCACTTTCAGCTATAGGTTTGTTTTTTTAGTTGTGCTAGCTTGCACTTTCAGTTTTTTGTCCAAAAGTTTAATTGGTGAAATCAGGAATAGAATTAAACAAATATATAATACAACGTTGAAGAGAAAAGTTCTAGGCACCAGTTAAAAAGGATAGGTCTTACAATACAGATCTATCGTAGAAATCACCAGCATTCTGTTTACTGTAATATTTTACACAATTTATATCCGGTATATCCGATATTTTCGCAATCCTTACACAAGAATAACTGGATGATATATTACTTGCTACTGCGGGACGTGCTCGTGACCGATACTCTCGTGCTTGCCAACTCGGACCTTCAGATGGACCGCGTTACGAGTCGTCTCCACCGTGGCGAGCGAAAATGCCTGTTTTTTGACCCGACCTCGTCTGGCCGTCCTGGAATCCGAATGAACGATGCTCGGAATCGCACGAGTATGCGACGATTCCGCCGCGTATCTCGATGTATGTTTCTCGATTGTGTGTTCACGTTTTAAAAGACCTTACGGGATTGTGCGGAAGTCGAATCCTGAGTCTCCAACCGCTCGGAATGCCTCAGGGCAAACAAGCCGCCTGCGTTCCGTGATTTGCGCGAGCGAATTTGCGTTCAGCAAATACAAATCACAAACGAAGCACCAGTTGACGCTTGTCGATCGCCGTCCCGCTCTCACCTTCTCACTCTCTCTCTTTCTCTCTCTCTGTCTTTCTCTCTCTCTCTCCCTCTTCCTCGATATTCGCTGGCCGATTCTCGCGCTGTCGTCGTCGCGCATTCGAGTCGCAACGCACGAGTCTTTCACAGGCGTGCAGGACACGAGCGCGGACGACGCCGTGATCTCGGCCAATCTCTCGATCCCTCGAACAAAAAGCCGGCGTGCGCTATGCACCGTGCGAACACTCCGCGTTTCCTCTGTTGACACCCCCCGGGAAATATACGCGTTCTATCGCCGGATTGCGGACATCTTGGATCGCGGACGCCGTATTCCAGGGGCTGGATACTCATATATGTTGGAACATGGACGGTAAGTAGTTCCTATAACGACTGTAAGCTGAACGGATAGCGCTACCGCTGTACACTGACTATGCATGCGAATCTAAGTAGGGGATATACGTACGTTCCGTAGTGAAACCTTTGAAGTTTGTGTCAGACTACGGATTGGAGATTGAATTGAAATTTGACCAATCAGTGTGAAGTTCACTAAATTTCACTAAACTTTAGTTCAGTTAACTTTGCACTGATTGGCCAAATTCAGTTCAATCCCAATCCCCAATCTGCAGTTTAATACGGGCTTTAGGGAGAATTCACACTATGACAGAAAAGCAGCAGCCAATCAGAACTCGCGCTGATATTCGACTCGTTGCCTGCACTTTTGACACTTTTGTATCTAATGCCCATTGCACACCGAATGCGATGAGCGATATTTAATGACAATTCTTTTTTTTAAAGAGAGGTCAATGTGCAACGGACGTTAGTATAAAAGTGCCAAAAGTGCAAGCATCACGAACAGACCTGTGTTGAATACAAAGGCGAGTTCTGATTGGTTGCTGTTTTCCTGCCTTCTGCTTTTCTATCATGAATGAATGAATGAATTTGTATGAATTCCCGCTTATATTTTAGCGGTCTATCGCGAACTTTTTGATCGCTAAGTATCCTCGGGGAGAATCACTAGATTCTTTCGACCCAGAAAAAGCGATCTAATCCCGTATCGAAGTTCGAGCTCTGCAGTAAATCCCTGCAGCCGCGACTGGAAGGACGTAACAGTAGTCTGATACGGGCTTTAGGTTTAAGTTTATCATTAAGTCTTGTGTTCACAATGCTAGATCTTGGACCTAGATTTAATGATTTTTATATCTCGTCAACCCTGTCCAAAATTTAGCATCGTGAACACAGGCCTTAAGATCCTTGCACTATGACAGGCAATAGGAACAGAAAATAATGGTTTCTACCCACAGGACGCAGCAAGCGTTTCCGCACTATCCTTTAACGTCAGTTCCCAAATGAATTGAAACCACAAATTTCTGTTTCCTCTTAGGAAATCTCATGTTTTGGAACCTAAGGAAACCAAATTTATAGGTTTTGAGAATTTATTTATTTTTTTTTCGCTTTTATTCAGTGTTGACAACTTGTTTTAGAGTCACTAGTATCTAAACTGAACACTTAGAGCTATGTCATAGGTTAGAGGTGTTATTTCGATGGTTTATATGGCGTTTGACTCTTGTCTGCTGATTGGCTCTGACGCTGACGCTCGACGCTAACATGAAAAGTACCTTCAAAGCACTTTTATTGCACATGTGAAGAATTTGTCTACCATCTTTTTGCGCTTGCGCTCGGGCGTTTCTGCCACTGCGGCGTTAGTGATTCTCTTTCTCCTTTCCTTTTTGTATGATTACACGTCGTTGCTGAAGAAAATCCGTAAAGATGGGTCGTATGCATTCACATGGGTAACGATATTTATTATATGTTAAGATTACTCACGTTTGCGACCAACTTCTTCAGTCTCCAGTTTCGAATTCCTATATTTTGTGTAATTTTAATATAACTCGATCAGTTGTCGAGACGTTTCTCGACGATTAGCGCGACTATGTGTATGTTATGTCTATTATCAACTTTCTCCGCTTTCGTGATGCTTTATTTTGGGAGTTTAGCGAACCTATTTTATGTAATTATCGAACGTCTTAGTAATTTTGACTTTGAAATTATGACAATGTTCAGACTCAGTTACGCTGCCATTCGAACACATAACCTTTTATGCATTCATGCGGTATAATTTTGATATGTAGTTATTATTTATAATATTGATATGAAGTTATTATTTATTAAGATATATATTCGACAAATCAGGCGCAGTTGAAACAATTTTTTAAAGATTTAATTAGATTAAATTTAATTGATATACGATATATCTTTGTCTCGATTAAGTTTTATTATTTAATTATATATTACACAAAAATATTTGTCAATAAAATTCCCCAATATGACGGATTAAAGATAATAATCTAACAAAAATATTGTTTCTTTAGAAAGGGTATATCCCAATCTGCGCTTCCATATCGACGAAGTGTGCCAACTTGGTTGAAGTTGACGCCCGAAGATTGTAAAGAACTTATTTACAAACTTGCAAAAAAAGGACACACGCCATCTCAAATTGGTAATTATATATTAATAATATATTTATGGGTTTCTTATAATATATAAAAAGAAATACATGACATGCTGTCACTGGAAAAATAATATTATTTAAGATATTTAAGAAATATTTTTACAGAAAGCTTGATATATTAAAAAAAAATAAACTACTTTTTAAAAGATTTTAAAATCTTCAAATTGTATTTAAAAAGAAGGAATAGGTCAAATTTTATCTTTTTGACAAAACACAGACATGTTAGCATGATTATAATTTAATAGTGATATTTACATATTATCGTTAAATTTATTACAAATTGTTAAAACAGTAAAGTATAGATTTAAATAAATATTTTGTGCTTGCAGGTGTCATACTTCGTGACTCTCATGGAGTGGCACAAGTAAGATTCCGCACGGGGAATAAAATCTTGCGCATTGTAAAGAGCATGGGTCTGGCCCCGGATTTACCCGAAGATCTATATTATTTGATTAAAAAAGCTGTGGCTGTTCGCAAACACCTGGAACGAAACCGTAAGGACAAGGACAGCAAATTTCGACTGATTCTCGTAGAATCGAGGATCCATAGGCTAGCCCGATATTACAAAACAAAAGGATCCCTGCCACCGAACTGGAAATACGAGAGCTCGACAGCTAGTGCTCTTGTAGCCTAACCCGTTTAACTGTATTTACATATGCTGCAATAAATTTGTGAGACTAGCCTGTTTTTCCACATCATACCATTAATAGTAATGCCGAGACTAGGTATTTATAAGTAAAAAAAAAAATACAGTTTTGCGGGAGATACGTGGGCGTTGGATTTAACAAATAGTAAATAAGCAGTGGCCTCATAATCACTTGGTCTGTTCTTTCTAGCTGAAATAGCTACAAGAAAGTAAATAGTAGTTCAAGCAATTCACATATACTAATTGAAGCGTACGAAGCATACATATGAGACACATGTTTAAGGGTGCGTACATTTTTCAAACTAGTGCAGCTAGTTCTGTTTGCAGTTCTGCTAAAGGGAACCATTGCCACAGACATCAATTCTTATCACCGAAGATAGCTGCTTGAAGTTGCCTGATTGTAGTTTCGTCCGAGTCTTTTGTATCGAATTCATTCGAGAGTCCCCACGTCCCACTGCGCCGGCGCAGGAATGTTCGCGCTACCAAAAATTCGCCAACGCACCGCGCATGCCAAGGATCATGCGGCGACGATGCGTATGTGCAGGTATGCACGTACGTGACTTGAAACGGAGGAACCAACATGGAGAAGTAAAGGTCGACGGGGCCAGAAAAGAAAGGAGGCAGAAGAAGAAGAAGGTAGATGGTCCATGGAGGCTGATATCGATATTAGAATCTCTCGCGCCCTGTCATACACCGAAGAGGCTAAATCATTGTCTACTTGTGCCGTAAAATACATAACAATGGGTTCCATACAAAAAACTTTCTAGAGAGAGAGAGAGAGAGGCGAGGTCATGACAGAAGACATCAAGAGACAGTTCAGTGGCCCTCCTTCTCCTCTCTCTCTCCCCCCCCCCCC